CTACAAGCTCTATACAATTGCCATTTTATCTAAGCTTAGTTAAATTTTTGAACATTTGTGGGGTAAAATATCCTATTTTCTCTCTGCTTTCAGTTATATTTTGCTATCCACAGATTCCTGAGGAAGCAGTCTGCCTCTGTAATTGCTCAATGTTCCACTGTGTTGACCAGCTGGTTGCTAACATCTGCTGAACATGTGGCGTGCATGGTTCTGACTGTGATCAGCCTAAAACAATGGTGATGTGAGCGTCACATTCCATAGACTGTATAAAGGTGGATGACATGACTTGTCAGCTTCTCAGAGTGAAGCCAAAACATCTTGTTTGCACCCTGGTGGCTGGCATGAACTGTGCCTCCTCCATGTTGGATGGGACATAGACCAAAATTCTAAATTACAGATCAAATAAAAATGGTTTCTGTTATTTTAGGTTGTTTTTATCACACTGCTGTTTGTTTAAGTGGTCATGTTTCTGATTGGTTTTAATTGTATTCAATGCTATAAAAACTTGGTGATGGATGTTGTGGCTCCACACTGATCACCAGCACAGGAAGGCAGCATCCGTATCCAGGATATTTTGGCTTAAGTTTTGTACAATGTGAGAAAATGGAGCCGTGTTGTCCATCTTTATATGCAGTGAACAGTGAAGTTGCAGCCATAATACCACAACTATAGGCTGAAAGACGCCAAAAATGCTATGATTAACAGCAAAGGTGATAAGAATTATCTGTGGATTTGCTATTATAACCCTTTCTGACCCATTCTTGTGTAAAACTATTTATTCTAATGAAGCATTGTGCTGTGGTAAGTTCATATGTTTTACATCGCATACAGTTCATACAAAATAACGCAATCTTCTTACATGTAGGTCTATATTTCCACTGAGAACAAGTGCAACAGTTACTGCACAAAGCACATGTCACTGAACATAATCTTCAGAAGCACGTTCGAACAATGTAAGCGAACTGCTTGCTAACTCTACCCTTTCTCTGCCCAATGCCTGTGCAGGCATTGCCTCGATGACAGTGCCTGTGTACATCGCTGAGGCGTCTCCACCCCATCTCAGGGGTCAGCTGGTGACCGTCAACACCCTCTTCATCACCGGGGGACAGTTCACCGCCAGCCTCATCGATGGCGCCTTCAGCTACCTGCAGCGTGATGGGTGGAGGTGAGACACAATACAGTTTAAATACAATTTAGCCGGCAAACGTCAACTTGAGATACTTTTTTCAAAGCATGAACCCCATCTCCATACATGATGGTCATATGGTTAGATATGATATTAGCATCTTTTATTTTAGTTATTATCATATCAAATGCCAGAAAAAGTCGCCCTGGCTCACACCCTCTTTTCAAATGTCAGCACATGCATGGGTCAGCCCCTAACATTTGCTGAGAGCAGCCAAACTTAACATGAAAAAGATACAGTATCCTTGCCTCTGTCCTCTTTTATCTGCTGCTACTTTTTTCTGCTCTGTTTGCATCCTGTTTTAGCTGTCACCATGAAAGCTGGTTCACAGACTCCTCTGCTGTTGAATATCGAGCTTTGAGATGCTGTAGATACGAATTGCCCTTTTCATGAGGATTTGCGGGTGCAACAGAAGAATGGTGTGATGGGTAGTTCCGTTCAGTATAAATATATGGATTTTTTTCCGACTCCTTGGAGTTGTATAAAATGACTGCCTGCTGCGTCTCGACTTCTTCTACTTCTACAGATCAAGCTTTCATTATGGTCCTCTCCCCCTTGTTCACCTCTCTTATACCATTTTGTGCTCTGCTGTCCTACCTCATAATTTGGGGGATTTTCAGACTGACCCTTTTTACAGAATGAGTTGAACCCTGTCTGTTACTGTGCATGAGTGGATTCAGAGAAGCAATTTTCCTCTCCACATAATAGTTCAGTATATGAGCTGTTCTGTTTGGGCAGAATTATTCTGTCATGATATCAGAAATCAACGCTTAATAGTTTTGGCTTGTTGTCAGAAATGCAGAAGTTAATAAAAGTCAATCTTTCTTTTTTATTATTTGTATGTTGTTCACTTTAAACCTATACACAAATAATCCAAGTGAATGCTTATGCACTACACTTCTAGTGCAACCATTGGTTTGCACAAAAAATCCACTTATTACAATACTTCATATATGTTCAGGGTTCAAATTAGATACTTACTGAATGTAAATATAGTACTGAGATATTTTAAGCAGAAAAAGCTGAATAAAGCCATGATATTTTTTCCCAGTCTTTACTTTTAATGAATCAAACTACCTGATGCTTGCTGGCTAATAGCGCAACATAAAATGATACAGATATATATATATATACACAGAAATAATACAGTCATACCCCAGCTTCCAAACTTTGTAGTTTGCCAAAAAAAAAGAAAAAGAAAACCTCTGAAAACGTGATTACGTAGTTTTTCTCCTTTCCTCTTGGCCTCCTCAGGTACATGTTGGGTCTGTCAGTGCTTCCTGCTGTGCTCCAATTCGTTGGATTCCTGTTCCTGCCAGAGAGCCCTCGCTGGCTAATCCAGCGCGGGCTCACCCAGAAGGCCCGCCGCGTGCTCAGTCAGATCCGTGGCAACCAGAACATCGATGAGGAATACGACAGCATCAAGAACAGCATCGAAGAGGAGGAGAAGGATAGCGGAGGAGGTAAGGGGATGGAAGGGGCGAAGAAGGGTGGGATTGGTTAAGCGTGTTTGGTGGTGATTACATTATAATCAGCTTTTTCTAGAACATGAAATTGGAAATGTCCAATTTACCTCAGTCATAACCAACATATAAAGTTTGAGGCGGTTTGTAAATGAAAACAAAATAGGGAATATTTGATAGATCTAACTTTGTGAGGAACCAGCCAGAAAGGTCAGAGAGTACATGACACGTTATCTGACCTATATCGTAGATTCCCCTGCTCTCTGTAGAACTAAAATGCTGCTTGTGTCTCCCCTCGTAGTTCTGATCTTTTTGTATTTGTTGTGCACATATGTGCATATCCATTGTAGCAATACTTGGTAGCAAAACAGCTTGTGTTTGGTGTTTGCTTTTTGTGAGGTCTCAAGGTCTCTCACGACTAAATCCCAAGTGAAGATTCTTCTAATGTGTGACCACCATCTGCGCCGCATCATTTCATGGCTCTGCCGCCAGTAGGTTTTGCAATTTACATGCTCTTTTTTAGGGCTGACATATGACCTGGAGACCAGCTGTCGCCTAGCAACCAGACAGCCTTGCAGATGGAGAGGATAGAGAGATTGGTAGACAGACAGATGGAGTTTAGAAAAAAAACGCATTTCTCATATTTTATGCCCCCCCTCTGCCCCCATTTCCTAATAACAATCTCTGGAGTTAGAATATTTCTACGAAGCCTTTGGATTCCAACATGCATTTCCTCATTTTTCATACCATGTCATATATATCATAACATGGAGCAATTCTAAAGAGGGACTTCTTGTTCATGTCATTAAGGGATTCCTAATGTCAGCATTCTATGCCTCTGTTCATACCTGGCATTATGTGTCTTGGGTGATCTGATCACAAGCACACATCTCTAAGTACAGGTGTGAACAACAACATGTAAAACTGCTGATTTCTGTCGTGCAATCAGTTGAACCAAAGTCCGTCTGCACATATTTGACGACGCAGGCCATCCATTAACTTGTCTCTGCTGCCCTTTGGAGTACTTGTTAAGTCTGCGGGTACTCTGTTTCCAAGGACTCTCACTGAAACTTGGTGCACACCTCACGCCCATAGACTGTATATAAAGAGCTCAAGCCCCATGATTATTATTTTCCTCTGAGAGAAAATACTCCTCTTTGATTGGCCCTTGGTCTTTCTAAGTTGTGGTCTGTGGCCTGCTGCATTGAAATGTGTGTGTGTGTGTTCTCACCTGGAAAGACAAAGGCTTACCATGCCCCTTCGCTGACATGTCAGTTGCCATGGAAACAACACTTCCCCCTTCCCTTTTTTCTCTCACCTCCGTCGTAACACTGACTATGGTGTTTGAATCCCTCCTATCTTCCCTGTTGCACTGACTCACTTTGACACACAATTAATTTACACATTCTCAAAAGGCCCAGTGGTCAGAAAGCAGAGAATAATAGCTATAGGCTTTTGCCTGCTAACTTTTTGGTTGTCTTTGTCTGTTGGTGTTTTCTATTGTTGTGTTGTTATTGTAAAGTGTCTTTGGGTGTCCTGAAAGGCGCTCTATAAATATAAGTTATTATTATTATTATTATTATTATATTAGTTAAGGCTCATTTATATGCAGTACAATTTTCAAACATGCATGTGTTGACATTTACTAAGCAGGAGTATGACCTTTAAAAACTAATCCAAGAGCACATTGTTGATATTTTGTCCTATTCTTCTGGAAATAGTTGATTAGTACTAAATATTGCATATATAAATACAACTAGGTAGTGTAGGGCGTAACCTTTGTTTCCTCTGAATTCTTCTCAGTGATTCTATATTTCTTCTTAAACATTGGGGGTTTCATTTCAGCAATGTCACGTTCAAAGCTGATTATTTCTTTGATTAATTTGATTGATTTGTTGTATTTTTGGCCCTTAAATGTCAGGGTTAGCTGGAAACAAAATGAAAAGAACTGTGAGGGCCCACTTCATTCTTTGAAACAAACTCAAAGATGTGATGATGGTGTTGTGTCACCCTCGTCAATGAGCTGCGATTACTGTCCTTTCAGCCTGAGAGGTGCATAGGCGAGGAGGAGGAGGAGGGGGAAGTTTGGGTGGGAGGAGAGGTCGAAGACAAAGAGAGAGTGAAGTGGAAAATTGAAGTGATGGGGCAGCAATTATGATTGAGAAGCAATATTGTGGCAATATTGCAGGCCAGTTCTGTCAGCCATTATATTGCCATTCTTCATGAGAAACTTCACAGTGCACCCTATTGCGCAAATTGATTTCTTCGGACAGCTTGTTCATAAAAATCCTTGTTTCAAGCCACACTGAGCTGAAGCAGATGTAACCTCACAAAAACAAAAGGGCGTGGATGGTCGCAGAGTGATGGGGCAGCAGCAAGCAGTAGATCATTCGTAATAGAACTATTGGAAGGTACATTTAATTTCTGGAACAAAGACATATGGAGAGCATTTTAAAAGAGGAAAGCAGTAAACATTCAAGTGAATGAAAGTCTGAATACATTTTGTTTTATGTTTGAGATGAATATTGATAATTCCATTAGAATACGCAGCAGACTGCAATCAGCTATCTATTGAGCTATCTATGAAGCTTCAATGGGCCCCGTTCCTGGTATTAACATGTGTTTTTTGTGATCAGATCAAAAGCGCACAGCTCTAAGTACAGATGTGAACACACTCAGATTGGATAGCAATGTGCTCTGGGCCACACGTGTCCACATTCTTTTAGCAGTGTGAGCGCAAAAAACCTTTTTGAAAGGATGAGGCAAGAAAGAAGCAATTCAATTGTGATGCTGATATGGGGCGGATCCACGATTACTTGATCTTTATGAAAAATCAGCCATATTTAGGGGACCAACATTTATAAGTTTGTTCAATTTGGTGGGGCTTAGTTTCACTTGATCTATTATCGATACAAAAACTATTGATTTGTTCCGTTTTTAAGAGCATGCACGGGTGTTGGCTGGAATATTCAACTTTCAGTCTCCTCACTCAGTCTCCATAAATCAGCTTTGGTTTGAAAAGGAGAGATGAAAGAAATCGCTCAATGTCAAGTGCATTGACATCAATTTAGCAGAGTACAGTCACTGTTTTATATAAGACAGGTTGGTAGGCAAACAGACACAGCCAGGAATCAGGATGAATGGAAATATTGTTTAAAACAAATAAAGCTCCATTTGAAGGTTAGAAAAAGAGAGTTTGATTTAAAGTAGAGATTGTACCATTAAACACATAACCACAACATCAGCTGAGGTGGACTGATTCAAATTAGTGTTACAATGAGCCTGTTTTTTATGTATTTTCCTCATTGTAGCTCAATTTTTTCCATTGCTATTCATTATTTGCTTTTCTCTGTTATTTATTTGGCGTCCAAAGTCATCTCTTACACTTGCCTCTCTGTTAGATTTTTTTCACCATCTGTTTCCAGGTAATTGAACAGTACACTGTGTTAGTCATCAAGAGAAGTGGTCCACACTTATGTTTACTTTTATTATCTCTGCACACATACTGTGCCTGATTGATTTCTGAGGGAGTTTTAGCTTCTACCTCCATCACAGTTGTAATTCTCCCACTGATCTTTAATAATTCATTATATTTTAACATTTTATGAAACTCCGCTGCTGCTCTGAGTCTGTTTAAACCCACAAGGAAATCCTAATGAGACCACGGCCTTGTGCAGAGGAAAAAAAGTTTGGAGTCAGTGAACAACAAATTTAAGAATTAGGAAATTTAGGTTTATACATTTCTCCTTTGGTCAATATAAACTTAACATGACTTCTCCAGACAAAAGATTCGAGGGACTCTATTTGATCAATTCAACTGGCTTCAAAGTTTGTAGCAGCCGGCTCACATCCAAGCATCCCTATTTCCTGACATGATTTGAGTTGACAGCCCCGCTCTCAAATCAAGATTTAATTGAATCTAAACATCCTAAAAGGAAGTGTGTCCTCTGCTAATATACTTTTCAATAAATATGCTTTCTGCTCCCTTGTTGTAGTATTAAATAACCCAAATGGGCTGTATGCCTGACAAATATGGCCACAAGGGAAATATGAGCAAATATTTAGATTTGTTCTAAGGGTGGAAAAGACACATTTCTGCCCGTGTTGCTGTCAGTGTGAGAAACAATGAGCTGATGGCAACATGGGCAGCAGGGTGGGGTGCAGGGAAATGAAACCAGCGTCCCATGTGGGAAATTATTGTGGAGGCTGCATTAGCAGAGGATGCAAAGCAAGGCAACTGGCTTCTGATGAAAACAAAGAGAGGGAGTTAAGGGAATTATCTTTTTCTTTACTGCAGTAATTGGTTTCTATCTAGGCCTACACTGTCTAAAAACAAAGGTATCCCATGAATGCATTAAACTCCAGATTCAACTTATCCATTATTATATTGCTGTTGCAAATGATTAATTCATTATCCATCCGCTGCAGCTGATTTTATTGATCTTCAAATAACGAGCAGGCGTTTGTAGGTGTTCACAGTATTCATTGCATTTTGTTGAAAAATCAATGAGGAGCATGGAGATTGTTTTTTTCGCAGTTTTTTTTTTCAGCAGAAATAATGGGTAAGCTGAAAGTTAAGAGTAGAGTTAGCTTACAAATTAGATAGTTACCGCTATGAGAGAGGTTGCTGATGTTACAGGGACTGAAAGCTATTTTTTTTACTCTGCACTTTTCTAATTGTAGTAGCAAAACAACCAGAAATACGTTAATCCACAACCAGTTGTTTTATCTCTGGTTTTTGTTTATTTTAGATGAAACAACATTTTAATTATTGAGTTTTAGAGGTTCCATCTTCCGATTACATCATTTGGAGCAATACACTCTGCAGTGAAGAGGAGACCTCCATGGAGTTGGATATTGTCACTGCTCAAACAGAGAAAAAAGTAAAAAGGGTTGAAAGATTGAGGCGATTTTCAGTGTATTGCAGTTTTTGTGCCTTGACTAATCGTCGGTCACAATGGAGGACAAACTAAAGATTTTTAATTGCACCTCCAGAGGTT